TCCCTTCCCCAGCAGAACTATGGGTCCCCATCCCAGCAGAACTATGGGTCCCCACCCCAGCAGAACTATGGGTCCCCATCCCAGCAGAACTATGGGTCCCCACCCCAGCAGAACTACAGGTCCCCACCCCAGCAGAACTACGGGCCTCCACCCCAGGAGCACTACAGGCGCCTTCCACAGCAGGATATCGGGCCTCCGCCCCGGCAGAACTACAGTTCGCCACCACAGCAGAACTATGTGCCACGTGGGCAAGAAGGTTATGGGAACTCTCCGAATCCCCTGCCCCAGCAAAGTTATGGCCCACAAGGGACTGGGGACCAAAGAAGCTCTATGTCGCCCAGTAATAATGATGCCTACCAGGTAAACTATGCTCAAGGACCGAAAGAATTCCAGCAAGAGAATATCCAGACCCACATGTCTCCCGGGCAGAGTGGGTTTACTCAGGGTTCTGGCGGAGGTTTTGAACAGGCACCTGTAGGGGCACCGAGGAACTTCTCGTCTAGGGGGAATAATTAATCAGGTAAGATTGATTTTCCCTTTGCCATTATTGTTCTTGTTTTTCTCTTGTGTGAATGTCTGCTCAAGTCTCAACCTCAATATGAAGTATTTTATTATGTAATTTTGCCTTCTCTCCTCATTATTGAATTTGATAGTGTGGAGATGGTAAATGAACTGAGACCATGAAAGGAAAATTCCAATGACGGTAATTGTTTGGTTTCCTCATCTATGAATGTTTTGACTTACCCTTCTCCAGGTTTAAACTTCTGCTTTTTTCATCATGGCCCATAATTGCGGATCACTACTACCAATAAATGCATTTTCTATTTCTTCTCGAGCTTCCTTCACAAAGGATCCTTATTGAGCATCTTTATTTGTTAGTGAGTTTAATGCCAAGCAGTATCTTGATTGTAGTTGATTTGTTTGTTGAAGTCCGTAGTGGTGTTTTACCTTGAGGATTTGGGTTTTGATTATACGAAATGAAATTATTCACCTGGTATGGCATATGATTGGAAGTATGTAAAGAAATCATAGATACGGAATACAGAAAATGTTTTACATCCAGCTTTTGCTGACTAACCATTTTCTTGGCTCACTAACATTGTAGGTTGCATATCAAGTGTGGTCTTTCATTATAAGTTCGATTTACAGCATCTCAGATGAAGTGATTGTTGGAGCGTCTGCAAAACTATATTGTGTCGAGTGATGGGGAAAAAGATTATGAATTTCTACTGTTATGATTAAGAGGTTTCATGCTTAGTTTAGGTTGGATAGAAACGGGGATCGTTTGTTGAACCATATGAGCTCACAAACCCTGGCGTCTACAATTAATATCTTATGAGATCATCTGTTCACATTTATGTTAATCTTAGCTCAGTCGATTTTTGGTAGTCAGCTAGACTAATTCCTGCATTGGATCCTTAAATTTATATTCATGTGTTTGTTCTGGCAAGACTATAAATCTAAGCGCAATGAATTCAAGGACTAATGACGTCGAACTTGTTGATAAGAAAGACTTAACATATAGACAATACATCTCAATGGGATTGGTTCGAAGCCAAGACAACCTCTTCGATCTTTTGCTGTATTCTTACAATTGCTCGAACATTGGTCAGTGACAATCCTCCCAAGCACCTCAGTCGCCTAACGTATATGTTTTGCGCACGGGCACGTCTCAATTTTAGAACTCGTGTGTTTTTCGTGTATCACTTGCGTGTCAATTTTTTTTTTTTTATGCTGTAGAAATAATAATATTATTCAGAAGCTACAATAGGACTCATAAGAGAAATTAGGATAAGTCTCCTGATATGAATTTGCGTATTACATTTAGGCCGAACAAAATGCCTAAGCGCATAGTGAATTAGCATGTTGATTACTATAAATTGTGCTATTAATTAAGTGTATTTAGGTAACTAATAGATATGATATCTTATCTTATGTAATTATTGTGTATTTATATTTTATACCAGCTTTTAGAGCATCTCCAACAGTGAAATGTAGTTGTCGTAAATTACACTTTATATTAACAAATTTGACAATGTCTCCACTTTTTATCATACAATGCATAATGTAATCACAAATGTAGTGATGAGGTGGATATAATTAATGTCAACAATGTAGAGAAGAATGTAGTTCATCTACATTTTCTTTCACATTCCAATCAACCAATTGAGTGATGAGAAAAATATTTTTACCATTTTCAAAATATATAAATTATTTAATTGTTTATGTTTCTTATTTATATATTTTTTTTTATTTTTTACCAATTGGACAATATTATGTTTGATTAAATTGTGCATTGTAGATAATTTTTTAGATTTAAAGTTGCGAAATTAACAGATATCTTATGTGGTTCACAATTCATCTAAATAATTGACATTTGTCAAAATTTACGTGATAACAACATTTATACATTGGAGATGCTCTCATATAAGTATTTGATGAGTGTAAAGTTGCCGCTTAAAATCAGTATTTTAAATATCAAGCTAAGCGGCACTTGTGCGCCACAATTTTTACCAAAGTGGGCCTTCTAGGCGATAATTGTCATAATTACTATTATACAAAGTAAAATGAGAAAATTACATAGTTTACATTCATTTGAGTAAATAATTTTTCATTTACGAGAAAATAAAAGATTCATAAAAAATACGAGTGCATATCAAAAACTTTCTCTCATACTTCTCGCTCATATTTCTCTCTCATCCTATACACAGAAATAAAATTTCTCTCTCATATTTCTCGCTCATCTCTCATCTCTCTCATCTATCTTATCCCTCATACTCAAAAAGACTGCATCATGGCGAAGACGAAGCAAACAAGGTTGAAGAGAAAAGAAATTAAGGGCAACGTGCAATGATGTCAGCCTCATCTTCTCCCTTTGTCATACGCGTCTTCACAATTTTCAGATATGAAAATTTGCCAATCTCTCTCTCCAAAATCGCCCTTTAATCCCCAGCAAAATCCGATCAACCCTTCATGTCCGATGAGCCACCCGCCTCAAGAGCAGCCCATCGCGAGCAAGCCGGGGTGGTGGTGCCACCGGAGGCGGCCGTGATGTTGACGGGATGTCCACCCGCCGCAAGAGCAGCCCATCGCCGAGAGGATCGTGAGGATGTCGATGGGAGGGGTGCCGAGGCCGACCTTCATGAGGTACTCGCCGGAGTTGGGGGACCACTGGGGTGGTGGTGCCACCAGAGGCGGCGGTGGATTTTTTTATTATTGTTATTTTTTTGTCATGTTATATGTATATTGGGTTTTGAGAAATGTTTTATATGGTGTTTATATACAATTTTTGTTCTCATGTTACAAGCTTGTTGCAGAATCAAAGATGTTTATATACTGTTTATTTTATGTATATATATACACTTTTTGTTCTCGTGTTG